CAATCACAGCAGTGTCTTCAGCCTTCAATTTAGGTGAGAACTTTCTTGCATCAGAAAGGCAGAAGTAGTTGATTCATTCAGTCTTCTCCCTTCTCCGGTGGACTCGACGTTGAGGAAATAGGAAAAGCAGCTCATGTGAGCTGCACAGACCTTATTTTCCTTGTCTTCGTGTGCCCTGGAGAAGTCTGAGAAAGCCATCTCATTTAGTACCTACCTGAAACTGCCAGAAATCATCGGATTCCACCTTTAGAAGTCAGCTTTTCTCTTAAAGGCTCTCATAGGTCTGAAAGTTTCTGATTTAGTAACCTTTGAAAAGGAATTCTAGAATCTAAGTGAAAGGCAGAAAGTTAGTACAGGGAGTGTTACTGGTGGGGGAATTAACAGAATAAAGAATCCAAAGAAAGTAACTGAAGCCACAAAAACAGCCAGAAGAGAACTAGGCCATGTCTGAATTGAAAAATCAAAGCTTAACCTAAAGAGATCTCCTCTTCCTTTCTTTTTTCTTTATTCCATCCTTTTGAGACAGTCTTCTTGTAGCCCCAGCTGGCCTGGAAATCACTATGTAGATGAGGCTGGCCTTGAAGACACTGAGATCCACCAGCCTCTGCCTCCCGAGTGTTAGGACTGAGGTGTGTGCCACCATGCCCGGCTAAATAGTTTTTAAAAAATATTTTATTATTTTTATTTTATGTGTATGAGTGTATTGCCTGCATGTGTGAGTGCACCGTGTTGTACAATGCCGCGGAGGTTAGAAGAGGGCTTCGGATTCCCCTGGAACTGTTCGTAGCCGCCATGTGGGTGCTGGGAATCGAACCCGGGTCCTCTGCAAGAGCAATTAGTGCTCTTAACCACTGAGCCATCTCTCTAGCCCCTAAATAGTTCTTATAAAGAGCTAAGTGCATAAGAGAAGAAAGCTGAGAAAAAAAATACACAAAACAGGTGACAATTTAAAATCAAGTTGATCTGTGGCACGGCACCCTTAACCCAGTTATCCTGGGTTCTTTTCCTTCAAAAACTCAAAACCTGGGTCTGATGGCACAGAGCTGTCATCCCAGCTTCCAAGGAGACTGTGACAGGAGGATCCCAAGTACAAGGCCAGCCTGGACAACTTAATGAGATGCTGTCTCATGACAAACAAGAAGGGCTAGTGTATAGCTCATGGCTACAGTGCTTGGCTAACATTTGAGGGGCCCTAGTTTCAACCCCCGGTACGGCAAATAAAAATAAATTTAAAAATGATGAAAAGGTTGATGTGGTAGTGCATGTTTTTAATCTCAGCACTCAGGGGACAGAGGCAGGCAGATCTCTATGAGTTTGAGGCCAACCTGGTTTATGAGTTCCAGGTCAGCTAAGGTACATAGTGAGACCCTATCTCAAAAGAAGGAAGGAAGGAAGGAAAGGAAGGAAGGGAGGAAGAAGGAAGGAAGAAGGAAAGAAGGAAGAGAGGAAGGAAGGGAGGGAGGGAGGGAGGAAGGAAGGAAGGAAGGAAGGAAGGAAGGAAGGAAGGAAGGAAGGAAGGAAGGAAGGAAGGAAGGGGCAAGCCAAAAGAAGAAAAGGTGTATTCGCTTTTGAAGATTTAGCTATGCCAGGCATAGTGGTGCACACCTGTAATCCTAGCACCCAGAAGACTGAGGTAAGAGGATCACTATGAGATTGAGGAATTGAGGACAGCTTGGGCTACATAGTAAGTTCCAGTCCACCTTGGGATACAGAGTTAAGACCCTGTCTCAAGGGCTGGAGAGATGGCTGAGCAGTTAAGAATACTGTTCTTGCAGAAAACCTGGTTTTGAATCCCAGCACCCACATGGCAGCTAACAACTATCTGTAACTCCAGTTTCCAGGGGATCTGACGGCCTCTTATGTCCTCTGTGGGCATTACAGGACACGGGTGCACTTACCTACATGCAGGCATAACACTCATACACATAAAATAAAAATAATAAAATATTTTTTTAAAAGACCCTGTCTCAAAAGAAAACTTACACATTACAATGATATGTGACCATCCAAAAGGCCACAACACAAACAGATCCACAGAATATCAATGCTATTAAAATTCCACATGGAGTGGGACATGGTAGTGTACACTTTTGATCCCAGTACTTGGGAGGCAGAGGCAGGCAGATCTCTGTGAGACTGAGGCCAGCCTAGTCTACATAGTGAGACCCTGTCTCAAAACAAAAACAAACAAAACCAACAACAAAAATAAAATAGCAGGCCTAGAGACTGGAGCTCTTTTCCAGTATGGAATTCTGCTATGTATAATGTTGCCCCTTCCCATGAGAAAGGGCTTTGAAGTGACAGTGACCCACTAAGGCTATCACAGTGAAAACAATCTTTAAAAATGATTTACCTTTCCCTTTATGTTCTTGGCCAATGCTCAAAATATAGCAATCTATTATTAAAACTTATTTTAAATTGCTTGACTTGTCTTTCCAGTACTGATGCTAAAGATTTGTTTATTATTTATGGTCCTGAGGATGGAACTCAGGAGTTAAACCCTAACCTCCACTCCTGTAGGCAGGTCCTCTATCACAAACTATACTCCCAACTCTTTTATTACAATGTGTATGTGTGTGTGTGTGTGTGTGAATATATACTACATGGGTGCTGATGCCTTTGAAGGCCAGAAGACAGCTGGGCATGGTGGCATTTGTCTTTAATCCCAGCAATCAGGAGGCAGAGACAGGCAGATCTCTGTGAGTTCAAGGCCAGCCTGTCTACATAGCAAGTTCCAGGCCAGCTGGGGCTACAGGGAGACCCTGTCTCAAAAAGACCAAAAAAAATAATAAAATAAAAAAGATAAAGATAGGGTCTTCTGTATAGCCTAGGGTGCCCTCAAATTCACAATCCTCCTGCCTTAGTCTCCTGAGTGATGGCATTATAGATGAGTACCATCATGTCCAGTTGTACACACTGCTTTTGTGACATGCTTTGTTCATTCAGTTAATCTTTACTGTTTGAAGAAATAAATTTCACTGTACTTAATAATCAGTCTAGATTCAAATATTCCCAGGTTTCTCTAAAATGCCCTTTGTAGGATATGGGAACAAAATGAATTCTGATTTCCTATGCTATGTCTCTACATGTGCATTCACCTATCTTATTTGCAAAGTTTATTTTTACTTTGTCTGCTTTCGCTGCATTATTTTTTCCTTCACATAAAAAATAAAATAAAATAGGGCCATATGATGGCTCCTCAAGTGAAGGTGCTTGCTGCTAAGACTGACAACCTGAGTTCCATCTCTGGGATCCACATGGTGGAGAGAACTGAGTCCTACAATTTGTCCTCTGATCTCTCTCTCTCTCTCTCTCTCTCTCTCTCTCTCTCTCTCTCTCCCACTTTCTCTTTCTCCCCTCTTTCTCTGATCATTTTGAGACAGGGTCTCCCTGTAGCCCCAGCTGGCCTGTAGACCAGGCTGTCTCTATGTAGACCAGGCTGGCCTTGAACAAACTTACAGAGATCCACCTGCTTCTGCCTCCTGAGTGCTGGGACTAACTGCCACCATACCCAGCTACATTTCTTTCTTAAAAAAAATAATAAATAAATAACCCAATAACCCTAACCCTAACCCTAAAATATAAACAAAAACAAAAACAAAAAAAACCCCAGTAAGTTTAATTAGGGTTGCCTGCATGTGCATGGATATGGGATTATTTACTGCAGGATAGGCAATTTACCTGTTCCTGCACTTCTGAAGCAAAATGATTTGCCCTCTCACAACACTATACACGGCCAGTAACGTCCCTGCTAGTGTGTCAGTTAGTTTTGTCAGCGTGACACAAATAAGAGACATCTGGGAAGAGGGAACCCAGATTGGCCTGTGGGGCATTTTCTTGACTGCTGGTTGATGTAGGATGGCCCAGCCCACTGAGGGCGGTGCCATGCCTGGGCAGGTGAGCCTGGGCTGTATCAGAAAGCAGGCTGAGCACTGGCCAGGGAAACGAGCCTCTATGTGCCCTGCCCTGATTTCCCTTTGTGAAGAACTGTTACCTGGAAATGTTAGGTGAAAGAAACCCTTTCCTCCCCTAAGCTGGTTTTGGTCAAGGTGTTTATCACAGCAACTGAGGCTTTTTTTAAATTTTTATTACTGTGTATGAATCTTATGCCTGCATGTATGTTAGTGTACCTGTGTTGTGCAGTGCCCACAGAGGCCAGAAAAGGGTGTCAGATCCCCTGGAACTGGAGTTATGGATGGTTGTTAGCCTGTGGGTGCTAGGATTTGAACGGGTCCTCTGCAAGAGCAACCAGTGTTCTTAACCACTGAGCCATCTCTCAAGCAGTTAGGGTCTCACTATATAGTCAAAATTGGCCTCAGACTCACAATCCTCCTTATTCAGCCTCCAGAATGCTAGGGTTATAGGCACATGGCACACCACGATACCCACCTGGAAACTGAATTTTATGATGTTTTTTGTTTGTTTTGTTTTTTACATTTACTTATTGTGTGTATGGGAGGTAAGAGTCACACACATGCCACAGCACACCTGTGAAGGTTAGAGGACAACCTGCAGAACTGGTTCTGTCCTTCTACCATGTAGACCTAGGGATCCTAGGGATCAAACTCAGGTTGTCAGATTTGGTGGCAAATGCCTTTAGCCACTAAGCCACCATGATTAAGCTTTTATTTATTTTTGTTTCTCTTTTTCTTTCTTTTTTGTTTTTGAGATAGGGTCTCATAATGTAGCTCTAGCTGTCTGGAACTCACTTTATAGACCAGGCTGGCCTTGAACTCACAGAGATTCACCTGACCCTGTCTCCTGAGTTCTGGAATTAAAGGCTTCAGCCACAATGCTCGACCCCAACCTGGGTTTGGTTCCCAGCACCCACATGGTACCATCTGTAACTCCAGTCCTAGGGGATCTGACACTCTCTTCTGGCCTCTGAAGGCATTGTATACATGTAGTACACCTACATACACGTAGGTAAAACACTCATACACATAAAATTAAAATAAATTTTAAAATATTTAAAATGTAAAGAAAAAGAAATGGTTTATTTTGGATGCAGTTACTTAAACCCTTAGGAAAGAAGTTTCTTTTTAAAAGTAGATTCATAGGCTTTTAACAATAAGACAGTTCATGATTTGTTCTTTGGAGTATGTTAAGGCTCTTCTGCTACCGGACAATGATCAAGTTTAGGTTTGTTGGGATTATTTTTCAGCAGCCAGTCAGCTAGCCAAATCTATGTAAAAAAGAAAAACTGAAGTTAATAGACATTTAAATATTTCTTTTCAAAATCTTAAAATGGGCAGGTGTGATAGCACACACCTTTAATCCCAGCAATTGAGACACAGAAGCAGGCAAATTTCTGTGAGTTTGAGGTCTCCCAGGTCTACATAGTGAGTCCCAGGACACCTGGGGCTATAGGGAGAACCCGTCTCAAAACAAAACAAAAAAACAGATGATAGATAGATAGATAGATAGATAGATAGATAGATAGATAGATAGATAGATAGATAGATGATTGATAGATGATAGATAGAAGATAGATAGATGATAGATAGATAGATAGATAGATAGATAGATAGATAGATAGATAGATAGATAGATAGATAGATAAACAGCTGGAGAGATGGCTCAGCCATTAAGAGCACTTGTTGCTCTTACAAAGGACTGGAGAACATGGTTCAATTCCCAGTACCCAAATCATGCAGCTCACAACCACCTGTAACTCCAGTTTCAGGAGATCTTAACACCCTTTTTTGGCTTCCAAGGGCACTTACATGCATGTGAAATACATACATGCCCTCAGGGATACACACATGTACACATAAAATAAAAATAAATATTTTTTAAATAAATAAATAAGGCTGGAGAGATGGCTCAGCAGTAAAGAGCATTGACTGCTCTTGCAGAGGACCCAGGTTCAGTTTCTGGCACTAATATGGTGTCTAACAACTGTCCAAAACTCCAGTTCCAGGGGATCTGGTGTCCTCTTCTGACCTCCATGGGCATTTTGCACACATGCTGCACTTACAACACAAGCAGGCAAAACACTCATACACATAAAGTAAAAATAAATCAAAAATAAAATTTTAAAAAGGCAAAACAAAATATTTGCAACACTATTATGTATATACTGTGTAAAATTGTTATGTACAGACCTAAATTAGAAAGGAGGCAGGGCCGGGCGTGGTGGCACACACCTTTAATCCCAGCACCCAGGAGGCAGAGGCAGGTGGATCTCTGTGAGTTCAAGGCCAGGCTGGTCTACATACCAAGTTCCAGGCCAGCTGGGGCTACAGGGAGACCATATCTCAAAAAGAACTAAAAATAACAAGTATTGACCATGACAAAATGATAAAGGGAAACTGGAAACCCCAACACTGGGAACAGGAAGGTAAATGGCAAATGGCATGGCCACTATGTGGAAAAGAAAATCTAGACAGAATTGCCCCACAACCCAAGATCTCCATTCTTTTTTCTTTTAATATTTTATGTATTATTCTTATTTTATGTGTATGCGTGTATTGCCTGTGGGCAGATAAGTGCACCTGTGTTGTGCAATGCCTGTGGAACACAGAAGAGGCTGTCAGATCCCCTGGAACTGGAGTTACAGACAGTTGTTAGCTGCCATGTGGGTGCTGGGATTCTAACCCCGGTCTTCTGCAAGAACAGTCAGTGTTCTTAACCACTGAACCATTTCTCCAGCCCCAAGAACTCCATTTTTTTTTTTTTTTTTTATTTGTCTTTTTTGAGACAGGGTCTTCTTGTAGCCCCAGCTGTCCTGGAACTCACTATGTAGACCAGGCTGGCCTTGAACTCACAGAGATCCTCCTGCCTCTGCCTCCCAAGTGCTGGGATTGAAGGCGTGCGCCACCATGCCTGGCAAGAACTCCATTCTTATACATTTACCCAAAGAACTGAAAACTGGGACTCACACAGATAGTGGTATTCAAATGTTACAATATTATACACACAACCAAACATCCACCAACATCTGAATGCTTATACAAAATGTGGTACACACATGTAACGGAACATTATCATCCATGTAAAGGAATAAAATTCTGATAAATGTTAAATCAATGAAACTTGGAAACATCAGCCCAGTTTGGTGGTGCACATCTTAGTCCCAGCACTCGGGAGGCAGAGGCGGGCAGATCTAGTCTACATACTGAGTTCCAGGCCAGCTGGGAATACAGGGACACCCTGACTCAAAAAGACCAAAAAAAAAACAACAAAAAAAAAATCAAACAGTGAAATAATTCAGAGACAAAAGTTTTTTGTTGTTGTTTTTTGGTTTTTGTTTTCTATATTGAAAGCTGAATCCAGAGCTTTGTCTATGCTAAGCAAGTGCTTTACTGCTAAACCAGGCTCCCAGCCCCCCACCGTTTTGTGTGTGTGTGTGTGTGTGTGTGTGTGTGTGTGTGCACGCGCATTCCATGGTGTACCTGTGGAGGTCAGAGGACAATTTGGGGAGCTGGTTCTCTCCTTTCACTATGGAATCTTAGGATGGAACTCAGTTCAAGAGGCCTGCGTGGCAAGTGCTTTTACCCATTGAGCCATCTCACTGGCCCTTTTGAGTTTTTGTTTTCAGTCAGGGTCTCACTAACTTGCCCAGCCTGGCCATGAAGTCATAGCCAAGCAAGCTGTAGAGCTTGTGATTCTTCTTTTTCAGCCTCCAAGTTGCTAGGATTACAAATTTGGGGCCATCATACCTGACACAAAAGAGCAAATATATGCATACACTTACATAAAATATCTAAAACAGGGAAATTTATAGACACAGAAAGTAGTAGAGGTAATGGGAGTTGACAGAGATAGAGAGCTGTTGCTTCAAGGTTACAGAGTTTTTTGGTTTTTTTTTTTTTTTTTTGGTCTTCTTGAAACAGAGTCTCCTTGTAGCCACAACTGGCCTGGAACTCACCATGTAGACCAAGCTGGCCTCAAACTCACAGAGATCCGCTTGCCTCTGCCTCCTGAGTGCTGGGACTAAAGGCGAGTGCCACCATGGCCAGCTTCTTTTGTTTTTTTGAGACAAGGTCTACCTATAGCCTGGAACTGGCTATGTAGATCAGGATGACCTCAAACTCACAGAGATCTGCCTCTGGCCTTGTAGTTTTGTTAAAATTACAGATCAGGAGGCTGGTCAGGGGACTGGGAATGTAGCTCAGGGGTAGAATACTTGCCTAGGATGCTCAAAGCCCTAGGTTTAATCCTCAGCACTGCAAAAATAAAATAAAAGCAAAAGCAAAATAAAAGCCAGGCTTGGTAGCTCATTCCTATAATCCTAATATTTGAGAGGCAGAGAAGCAGGAGGATCAGGAGCTTAAGGCTAGCCTTGGCTAGTTTTAGAGCTAGACATAGTATCTTAGGTCTATAATCCCAGCACTTGGGAGGCTAAGGCAGGCAGGCAGGATTGCTGTAAATTAGAGTCATTCTGGGCTATACAGCAAGTTCCAGATCAGACTGGTCTACAGAATAAGACTGTGCCTCAAAACAAAGAAATAAAAACACAAAGTTTTAAATATGAAAACTATGAACAATATTCTTCAATATGAATAAAAAGATGTCTTACAAATGGATCTGCTGGTTTTTGCTTACAGAGCTCCGTGAGTCCTTCAAGCAGAGTTGGTGTTATGTATGAATTTAAATAATCCTTAGCAGCTTGTCCCATTGGAATGGGTTCAATAATCACTGCAGACACAAATATGTTCTCATTAAAAAGAAAATATAAATAAACAATATACAGTTGTTTAAAAAGGATGCAGGTGTGGTGGTGCACACCTTTAGTCTTAACACTCAGGGGGCAGAGGCAGGCAGATCTCTGTGAGATGGAGGCCAGCCTGGTTTACACAATGAGTTGCAGGCCAGCTGGGGCTAGAAATCCTGTCTTAAAACCTCCCTAACCCTCCCGCCTCAAAAAAAAAAAAAAAAAAAGAAAAAAAGAAAAAATTAGAGATGACTTCAAAAGATTTTACATGTTATAGGAAACACTCATGTCTTCATCATTTTTCAATGTGTTTTTACAATTATTAACATATAATTTTTTTTTTTTTTGGTCTTTTTGAGACAGCCCCAAAGCCTCCTTTTTTTTTAAGTTATGAGCTTCTGGGGCTGGCAAGATGGTTCAGCAGTTAAGAGCACTGGCTGCTCTTGCAGAGGACCTGGGTTCAATTCCCAGCACCCAAGTGGTGGCTAACAACAGTCTGTAACTGCAGTTCCAGGGAATCTGACACCTTCTTCCGACTTTGTGCGCACTGGATGACATGGGTACACTTATACACATGCAGGCAATACACTCATACACAGAAAATTAAAAAAAGTTATGAGCTTTTTTCTTTAATTTTTAAATTTATTTTTATGTGTATGAGTGTTTTGTCTGCACATATGTAAGTGCGCCGCGGGGAACTGAACCCTGTCTTCTGGAAGAGCAGCCAAGTGCTCTGCTGAGTCATCTCTCCAGCCCTAAGCCTCCCATTTTGAAAATAATGACACTCTTTCCTTCACACTCCCATTAGATTTTAACTTGGAAGGGAGCAGTTCCTTCTAAAACACTTCCTGACTTCAATTCCCAACTCAAGAACTGAAAATGCTTGGAAGAGGACACTCAAGAAAGTCCGCACAGCCTTCTGAAATCGGGCTCACTTCCAAAGCAAATGAAAACATAACAGGTATCAGGAAGGGAGTTGGTTTTTGTTTGTTTGTGTTTTGGTGTTTTTGAGACAGAGTCTCCCTGTAGCCACAGCTGTCCTGGAACTCACTATGTAGACCAGGCTGGCCTTGAACTCACCGAGATCCCCCTGCCTCTACCTCCCAAGTGCTGGGACTAAAGGCTTGTGCCACCACGCCCGGCTCAGGAAGGGAATTTTTACCTCCACTTATAAAGCTCAGAGGCTGTGGTTGAAGTCAGACATTTAGTTCAAGCAGAAGCAAGTAGAATTTATTAACTAAATGGGAAATTGAGTTACTTATATTCACATACAGATTCCAATAATAAGTCCTTCTTTAAAAAAAAATAATATATATATATATAGCTATAGAACTGTGCTATAGAACCCCAAATTAGCCCTCCTGTTATAAAGGTTTTATAAATTTTATTTATTTTTATGTGTATGAGTGTTTTGCTTACATGTATGTAAGTGCAACTCAGATGTACCTGGTGCCCACAGAGACTAGAAAAGGGTGTTGGATTCCCTGGAACTGGAGTTAGAGGATGGGTGTTAGCTGCCATATGAGTGCTGTGAACTGAACCTAGATTTTCTGGAGGAGCAGTAAGTGCTCTTAACTACTGCTCCATCACTCAAGTCCCAAGTTGTTGGTTTTTTTTGTTGTTGTTTTAAGGCAGGGTCTTCCTATAGCCCCAAGATGGCCTGGAACTCACTATGTAGGCCAGGCAGGCCTCCATCTCACAGAGATCCACCTGCCTTTGACTCTGCGATGGGACTAAAGGCATGCGCCTGGCTCCAACTCATACACATAAAGTAAAAATAATAAATAAAATATTTAAATAAAGAAGTGGGGCCATCAAGACGGCTCATTCGATAGATGTACACACTGTAGCATACATGAGCCTGTACTCACACACATGCACACACACAGACACACAAAATAAAACAAGAGATGGAACATGATACATAATAGTTTAAAATATGTTATTATTTTTATTTTATGTGTATGAGTTTTTTGTCTGCATGTATGTAAGTGTACCTGTGTTGTGCAATGCCAAAGAGGCCAGAAGGGGGAGTCAGATCCACTGGAACTGGAGTTAATAGACAGTTGTTAGCTAGAATTGAACCTGGGTCTTCTGGAAGAACAGCAAGTGTTTTTAACCCAAGAGCCATCTCTCCAGCCCCATAATAGTTTATTTAAATACATACAAGTACATGCATGCAGAACAGTAAACCTAGGAAGAAACATGTCAAAATGCATGTTAATTCTAGCTCTCCAGATGCTGAAACAGGAAGATTATGAGTAAGAGGTCAACTTGGACTATGTGGCAAAACTCCACCTCAAAACAATCCTCCCAGAGCTGGAGAAACAGCCCAGCAGGTAAGAGTACTTGTTGCAGCAGAGCGTGGTGGTACACAGCCCAGCAGGTAAGAGTACTTGTTGCAGCAGAGCGTGGTGGTGCATGCCTTTAATCCCAGGACTTGGGAGGCAAAGGCAGGTGGATCGCTGCAAGTTTAAGGCCAGCCTGGTCTACATAGTGAGTTCCAGGACAGCTGGGACTTCAGGGAGACCCTGTCTCAAAAAGGCAGAAAAAAAAGAGTACTCGTTGCTCTTGCAGAGGACCCAGTTTTGGTTCACATCACCCACATGGCTACTCACAGCTGCCTGTATGTAACTCCAGTTCCAAGGGACCTGACACCCTCTTCTGGCCTCCAAGGCCATTGGTGCATTTACATACATATAGGTCAAACACTCATCACATAAAATAAAAATAAATTAATTTTTAAAAAAGAAGAAAAAGAAAGTAAAGAAAGCTGGCTGAACGGGAGCCATAGAGAACAAGCCAATGAGCAGTGTTCCTTCATGGTGCTTGCCTCCAGGTTCCTGCCTTGAGGTCCTGTCCTGACTTCCCTCAGTCATGGGCTGTTATGTGGAAGTATAAGATGAAGCAAGCCCTTTCCTCCCCCCATGGAGTGCAGAATGTTTAATCACAGCAGCAAAAGAGCCTGTGAGGACAATGGCAGAAGGCTTGCTCAGCAGGTGCCAGGCCCTGGGTTCTTTCCCCAGCACTATGGGAGGGGGAGGGGGGAGGGGAAGGAGGAGGAGGGGAGGAGGGGGAAGAGGAGAGGCCAGGAAAGGAAGGAGGGGAGGGGAGAAAAGTTCCTGAGTGGGACCACCAAGTATGCTGCAGGAGGTGGCACACACCTGTAATTCCTACTATTCGGGCTGTTAGATGCTTTTACTCCCAGGCAAGAGGCAGGCAGATCTCTGTGAGATACACACACACACACACACACACACACACACACACACGCAGACATGCAATAAATAAGTCTTATAATACATACATACATACGTACATACATACATACATACATACATACATACATACATACATAAAGGGTGGGATGTGCCCCAGTGGCAGCGTATTTGCCTATTATGGATGAGGTCCTAGGTTTAGTCTCTAGTGCTTTAAAAAAAAAGTACTGTTGCTCAGTATGTCCATTTCTTACCAACTTCATAACTTCCAATTGGATGAAAACCAAAAAGGACCTGAAATTATCAACTTCACAACAACTTGAGATGGTTTTTCTCCTTTTCCTCTTCCTCCTCCATTATTATTATCATTATTATTATCATAATAATCATTATCATTATTAAGAAAAAGATAAGTTTATTGAGTATACTACAAAGGAGCAGTGCTCAGGGGCAGCAGCACAGAACAGCCTGTCCTGCATTAGACTTTGTTAGGCAAACAATAAACGATCAGAGAAGGTGGAATAGATTCTTTCCCCTCCATGTATAAAACACTACTGACGCATTATAGATAAGTAGAATAACAGCACAAAGGAGAAGAACAATCCCAATATGTTTAGTTCAAGAGAAAAGAAAAAATTAAACTCTCAAAAGATTTCTTGGGAACAATTTAATTCTGTGAGTAATGTTAATGCTTCCATTTTTGGTTTGAAGGGTTTGGGAGGGGTTGTTGTTTTGTTTCTTTAATTTTATGTGTATGAGTGTTTTGCCTGCATGTATTTAAATGCACCCTGTGCATGCAATGCCTATAGAGGTCAGAAGAGGGTGTTGGAGCCCCTAGAACTGAACTTATGGATGGCAGTTAGCTGCCATGTGGGTGCTGGGAACAAAACCCAGGTCCTCAGCAAGAGCAGTCAGTGCTCTTAACCACTGAGCCACGGTTTACTATATAGCACCAGCTGGCCTGGAACTCACTAGATAAACCAGGCTGGCCTTGATCTCACAGCAATTCACCTGCCTCTGTCTCCAAACCACACCTGACTTGTTTTTGTTTTGAAATCAGGTCTCTTGTAGCTCAGCCTGGCCTCCTACATAGCTGAAGGAATTTTGAGCTTCTGATCCTCTGGAACCTCACCTCTCCAGTACTAGAATTAGGGGTGCATCACCACACCCAGTTTTATGTGGTGCTGAGGATCAAACCCAGGGTTTTGTGTGTACTAGGCAAGTACTCTAGCAACTGGGCTACATCCCCAGGCTTCTCTGGCTTCAAGTTTTTGATTAATTACAACTCAAAAATATGGCAAAACACATTTGGAGAAAAATGCTATCTTCCAGATCCAGCCACATCTTCAAAAAAAATTTTTTTTAAAGTAAACAACTTGGAGATGTACTTGAGAAAAGTAGTCATCTGTCACTCACCATCAGGAAACATGAACCGGATTTCTCTTTCTGCTGCAGCAAAGTCATGGCTCCCATGAAGTGCATTCCTCAGTTCATCTGTGCCATAAATTGCCCGAAGACTAAAAGCAAATTAGAGATGGTGTCCTTCCAATCTGACATCCTTTCCTTACTTCATATGGATGGATTCTCTCTCTCTCTCTCTCTCTCTCTCTCTCTCTATATATATATATATATTTATTTATTTATTTATTTATTATTTGTTGGGAGTAGGGGAGGCACATGAGCTATGGGCTATGTGTGGAAGTCAGAGGAAAATTTGTGGGAGCTGGTTTTCTCTTTCCACCATGTAGGTCCCAAGATCAAAAAAGGTCATCAGGCTTAGCAGCAAGTGCCTTTACCCACTGAGCCATCTTGTCAGCTCCCCCTGCCTTTTTCCTTCCTTGATTTGCTCAAACATTTAAAACAAATTCTATTTTCTGAGTGTTTTGCTTGCATGTATGTAAGTGTACCATGAAACTGCTCATGGCAGTTGTGAGCTGCCATGTGGGTACTGAGAACTGAACCTGGATCCCCTGGAAGAGAATAAGCATTCTAACCATTGAGCCAACTCTGCAGACTCTTTTTAGACAGGAGCTCATTAATCTAATTTTAAGCTTACATCTACCTAGAGAGCAAAAGCTGTCCTGTGAGAAGTGAAAAGGAAATATAAATTCAAAAGTGCAGTAACTCTGTTTTGTTTCAAGACACTAGTGATAATAATAAAAACTTGGATTTTTGCTCATTTACTACGAATATTCTTTTTTTTAAGGCAGGGTCTCTGTCCCTGTAGCCCCAGCTGGTCTGGAATTCGCTATGTAGACCAGGATCACCTTGAACTCACAGTGATCTGCCTGCCTCTACTTCCTGAGTGCTGGGTGCTGGGATTAAAGGCATACACCACCACACCAGCACCAATATTCTTTTAAAACACAATTCTAAGGCTGAAGAGATGGCTCAGCAGTTAAGGGGGCCTATACCTTCAGCTCCCGGGATCCAAAGCACTTCTGGGCTCCAAAGGAATCTGCACTCAAGTGTACATACCAATACACAAACACATGCGTTCACACAATTAAAAATAAAAATAGAGTTGTGCGTGGTGGTACATGCCTTTAATTCCAGCAATTGGGAGGCAGAGGCAGGTGGATCTCTGTGAGTTCAAGGCCAGCCTGGTCTACATAGTGAGTTTCAGGACAGCTGGGGCTACACGGAGACCCTGTCTCAAAAAGACCAAAAAATTAAAATAAAAATAGGACTGGAAAGATGGCTCAGCCATTAAGAACACTGGCTGCTCTTACAGAGGACCAGGGTTTGGATCCCAGCACCCACATGGGAGCTAACTCTCCCTAATTCTAGCTCCAGAGGATCCAACACCCTCTCTGGCCTCCTCGGGCATTGCACACATGGGTGCACTAACATGCATGCAGGCGAAAACATTCATACATATAAAGTAAAAAAAAAAAAAAAATTAAAAAAGAAAAAGAGGGCCTGGAGAGATGGCTCAGCGGTTAAGAGCACTGAGTGCTCAAGAAGAACAGAAAGAAATCTTAAAAATCCACCAATCTAATTTTCCCATTAAAAATTCTACTTCCGGGGCTTAGAGAGGTGGCTCAGAGATTAAGAGCACTTACTGCTCTTGCAGAGGGCCTGGGTTCAGTTTCCAGCACCCACTTGGCAGTCACAGCTGTCTGCCCTCTGTAGGCACCAGGCATGCACGTGGGGCCCATATATACATGCGGGTAGAACACCCATACACATGAAATAAAAATAAATCTTAAAAAAAAAAATCCTACTTCAGGGGCAGTGAGATGACTCAATGGGTAAAGATGTTTGCCATCAAGCCTGATGACTTGAGTTCAGTCCTGGGACCCAAGTGCACACATGTACAGACATAATTAAAAAAAAAATCTTACTTCACAGTCAACTGTAGTGACTCATGCCTGTAATCTCAAAAATGGGGAGGCTGAAGCAGGAAGATGACCAAGAATTCAAAGCTACCCTGGGCTGTATAGTGACTTATGGGTCAGCATGGGTACAGAGTGAAACCCTGCCTCAAAAAATAGGCAGATTGGGGGTGGTTATGGAGGCACATATCTTTAATCCCAGCACCCAGAAGGCAGAGGCAAGTAGATCCCTATGAGTTTGAGGTAGCCTGGTCTACATAGCCAGTTCCAGACCAGCCAGGGCTACATAAAAGAGCCAAACAAAACAAAACAAACAAACAAAACCCCCAAACAATAAGCCCTATACAGAACAAACCCACCCCCCCCAAAAATCAATCCTACTTTAGTGGCATTTTAATTCAGGGCTAATCAGTCATATATGAGATAGTCTCTGAAGCCCTCTGTGCTATTTGATATTGAGATACACACTGAAATGTGAAAATGAAAACTCACTACCTCTACAGAGAAAAATGTTCATTTAGCAAAACTTTTACATGAAAGAAAACTTTCAATCCAATAAAATCTTTTTCTTCTTTTTTCATTTTATTTTTGTGGATGATTTCAGTCCCTCCAATCTCCCCAGGAAAATTACCTGTCTGGGTGTGTCTCCTTAGCTACTATACTATTACTTGGTCCCAAAAGTTCTTTCCAGTAAGAGATGGCATTATGTCTAGCTAGTATCATAGCAACAAGTGGTCCAGAACTCATATAAGCTGTCAAATTTGGGAAAAACATTTTCCCATACTGATCCACATAAAAGTTACTGCAGTGCTCAGGGCTGAGAAGGAGTTTTCGTCTCTGTAAGAAGAACAAAGTCAACAAAAGCATTTAAAGTGACAGTTCAGTAAAACCTGATTAAGTCATTAATAACTTGCCAAGCATAGTGGCTCATGTCTGTAATCTTAGCACTTGGGAGCCTGAGACAAGAGGATTATAGAGCATTACAGGCCACTCTGGGTTACATAGGGAGTTCCAGTCCAGTTTGGGCTACAGAGTGAGACTCTGACTCAAAAAAAAAACCAACTTAGCCTGGTAGTTTATGCCTTTAATCCCAGCACTCTGGAGGTAGATGCAGGCCTCTTCAACATAATGAGTTCCAGGCCACCTAGGCCTACACAGTGACCCTGTCTAAAAAAATAAACCCCCAAACAAGTCATCAATAAGTTGAAATTAGTATCAGTGATTACACACTTTAGATTTATATTTGTATTATAAAGAAAGTAAATGATCCTTTTCCTCTTCCGGGGACAGTGTTTGGAGGTACTCAGAATGGTCCAGCATTTGACATATGGTCGTAGGCTTTCCTACAATACAGCCGCTAACAAAACTAGGCTGCCCCAAACCTCTGGTAACAGGATTGTTTACCTTTATACCAAGAAGGTTGGGAAAGCACAACAATCTGCGTGTGTTGTATGCCCAGGGAGACTTCAAGGGGTTCATGCTGTGAGGCCTAAAGTCCTTATGAGATTGTCAAAAACAAAACATGTCAGCTGGGCCTATGGTGGTTCTATGTGTGCTAAATGTGTCCATGACAGTGTTGTGAAAGTGTTGAAGGCACAAGCACAGAGTCAGAAAGTGAATTAACCATACAGCTTTTTTAAGTAATAAAACCCACAGCTTGCTCTATGAAAAAAAAAAAGTAAATTATATTAAATATGTTCTGAAATAAGATAAGAGGAAGTATTTATCCTCCTTAAGAAAACAATTCTTTTCAATTAAAGATTGGTGACAAACACACACAGACACACACACACACAGACATGCACAGCACAAAAAAAACCAATTCCTGCCGGGCATGGTGGCACATGCCTTTAATCCCAGCACTGGGGAGACAGAGGCAGGTGGATCTCTGTGAGTTTAAGGCCAGCCTGGTCTACATAGTGAGTTCCAGGACAGCTGGCGCTACAGGGAGACCCTGTCTCAAAAAGATCAAAAAAAAAGAAAAGGAAAGAAAGGAAAATAAAAATTTCTGGGGTCAGAGAGATGGCTCCCTGGTTAAAAGCACTGTCTGCTCTTGCAGAAGACCTGGGTTCAGTTCCCAGCATCCACACGGCAGGCTTACAAACGTCTGTAACTCCAGTTCCAAGGGATTGGACGCCCTCTTCTGGTCTCCATGGGCACTGCATGCATGTGCTGCATCTATATACATGCAGGCGAAACAGTCAAACACATAAAATGAAAATGAATATATTACTAAAAAAAAAAAGAAAGAAATTAGATCAAAAAAAATTCTTAGGCTGATGAGATGACTCAGTGGGTAAAGGCTCTTATTGCCAAAGCTGAGGACCTGAGTTCAACTGCCAGAATCTACATGGTAGAAAGAGAGAACTGTCTCCTACAAGTTGTCTTCTGACCTTCACACATGTGTTGTAGCACTTGTGCAGGAACACACACACACACACACACACACATACACACACACACCTAAATGTAAAAAAATATGATTTTAAGGAGTGCTTGCTGTGCAATCATGAAGAGCTGAGTTTGGATCTTAGCACCCACATAACAAACCGAGTGTCAACCAAACGCATGTAACTTCAGCTTTTCTGGCCTCCCATGAGTGCAAGCAGATGCACATATCTGCATACACATATGACCATGCACTCACCTAGACACATACAAATTGATTAATTAATTAAAGTCAGGTGTAGTGGTGCAGGCCTTTAATCCAAGTGCTCAGAAGGCAGAGGCAGGTGGATCTCTGTGAGTTCAAGGCCAGCCTGGTCTACATAGTGAGTTCCAGACCAGCTGGGGCTACAGGAAGACCCTGTCTCAAAAAGACCAAAAAAAGAGAAAGAAATCAGATGAAAAAAAATTGAAATTAGTTTTAGAAACAGTGGTATCAAATAACAGGAACAGAATTCATAGTTTGTAACAAAGGAAAGATTGCTACCTACTGAAAAGAAAGATCAGTTTTTCAGACCATTTTCTCTAGACAGGATAAGAAAGTTGAGTAAGCTCTCAACTACAATAAAGCCTATTTTACAAACATATCATATAAGCATGACTTATGATTTCAGTTATATGAAATAGCTGGAACTGGAGAGATGACTTAGTGGTTAAGAGCACTGGCTGCTCTTGCAGAGGACCTGGGTTTGGCTGCCAGCACTCATATGGTGGCTAACAGCTGTCTTTAACTACTGTTCCAGGGAATTTAACACCCTCTTCTGGCCTCCATGGGCATTGCATGCATGGGTGAACTGACATCCATGAGGGCAAAACACTCAAACACATAAAATAAAAAAATGTTAAACTTTGAAAAAGGGCCAGGTGTGGTGGCGCATGCTTTAATCCCAGCTCTTGGGAGGTAGAGGCGGGTGGATCTCTGTGAATTCAAGGTCACCCTGTTCTACATAGTGAGTTCCAGGCCAGCTGGGGCTTCAGGGAGGTCCTGCTTCAAAAAGACCAAAAATAAATAAATAAACATTGTAAAAGGAAGAAAAGAACTGTTGATCCTCTTGGTTTTGAGATAGGGTTTCACTATGTAGGCCTAGCTGGCCTCGATCTCACAGAGATCTGCCTGACTCTGCTTCTTGAGAGCTGGGACTAAAGAAACATGTGTGCTACCATGCTATTAATTTTTAATCTGTAATAAGCACTAGCCAGCCTTGGTGTTGTGGTGCACACCTTTAATCACAGCATTCAAGGGGCAGAGGCAGACAGATCTCTGTGAGATCAGCCTGATCTACAAAGCAAGTACCAGGCCAGCTGGGGCTACAAGGAGGAAAAAAAAAAAAAGATGGCATGTTTTCATATTTTTGGTTTCGGGACGGTGGCAGGAATTGAACCCACAGCTTCATGCATACTATGCCTGTGTTCTACCACTAAGCTATACCCTAGCCCTACCTATGGACTTTGATTTTTTAATAGGTATCAGGTCCATTTAGAGTTATCCCGGAATAAAATATTTCATTGGACTTTTTTTAGTGGCACCTTAGTTTTCTTAACATTTATTAAAGAGTATCTGAATCTTTTAACTGTGTGACCGTATCTTTATACTTTCCTTTTTTTGTTGTTTTTCAGTCTTTTTTGAGACAGTGTCTCCCTACAGCCCCACCTGGTCTGGAACTCACTAAGTAGAACAGGGTGACCTTGAACTCACAGAGATCCACCTGCCTCTGCATCCCAAGTGCTGGGATTAAAGGTGTAGCACCACACCCAGCTCTTATACCATCTCAACTCTGTCTTTATCCTTGGAAGCTCAATTGAAATCACATACTTCTGACGACTAAAGCTTTCTTTTTCCTTCCCCTCCCCTCTCTTCTTTCTTTTTTTTGTGTAGACTATGTATGTGCATGTGTTCATGGGTATATTCACACCCATGCACACAGGTGAATAGTGTATGTTGTGTGTGTGTAGCCAAGAGTCAACATTGGGAGTCTTCCTCAGTCACTCTCCATCTTTTTTTTTTTTTTGAGACAGCGTCTTCCTGTAGCCCCAGCTGGCCTGAAACTTACTATGTAGACCAGGTTGGCCTTGAACTCACAGAAATCCTCCTGCCTCTGCTTCCTGAGTGCTGGGATTAAAGGCGTGGCGTGCACCATCATGCCCTGCTCCATCTTATTTTTTGAGACAGAGTCTCTTCCTGAACCTGGAGTTCACCAATTTGTAAAGACTAGCAGGCAGCCAGCTCCAGAGACCCTCCTGCTCTGCTTCCCTAACACTAACATAACAGGTACCTGCCACAGCACCCAGCTTTTTATGTGGGTGCTGGGGATGCAAACTCAGATCCTCATGCTTGCTTAGCAAGTGCTGTACCAACTAAATCATCTCCCCAGCCCAGTTTTCTTTATCTTTAAAACACTAACTAGCTGGACATGGGGCTACAGGGAGACCCTGTCTCAAAAACAAGCAAAAAACAGAACAAAAAAACCTACTAATAGACAATATGATACTATATAATTTTAAAATAAAAAAAAAGCCTAGAAATCCAAATAAGGATAGTAAACAAAAGATTTAAAATATTAAATTTGGGCTGGTGAGATGGCTCAGTGGTTAAGAGCACTGGCTGTTCTTGTAGCGCCCACATGGCAGCTAACAACCATCTGTAACTCCAGATCCAGGGGCTCGAACACCCTCTTTTGACTTTCATGGGTGCATTTACATACATGCAGGCAATACACTCATACACATAAAATAAAAAAAAAATTTAAAACATTAAATTCTACTTGATATCTTTACACTTTTTGGCTTTTAGTTTGAGACATGGTCATACTAGAGCATGGCTTGAAACCCCCTGAAGCCCAAGAAGGCCTAGAGTTTAAGCTCTTCTGAGTCTTAAAAAAAAAACACTAAATGTTTATAACTGAAAAAAATACCAATAGAGACTCAAACTATGCACAGGAATATTGCACGTAACTTAAAAAGGATACAATAGATTCAGACATAATGATCCAAAATGTTACAAAGAGACTGTTTGAAGGAGTCAGAGAGTAGGCTGGCTCCATTTTCTAGGGAAAAAAACGTTTTCAAACACAAAACTCATGGAAGAAGAGCATGTGTTATTTCCTCTCTCTATACTGGGACTTGGAAGAAGTTAAGGGAAGGAAAAGGCAATTTTGCTTCTTTTGCTTCTTATTCAACATTCTTTTGAAGTGTGAAAAACTTAACTATTACATTGAACTAATTTTTGAGACAGGTCTTATGCATTTGGAGTCAAATTCCAAACTCATTATGTAGCTGACAATGACCTTGAACATCTGATCCTTTAGACCTCCACTTCCCAAGTACTGGTAACTGGCAGGTGCCACTATTTCCTCTTTCACATGTAAACTTTATAGTCGAAACCGTAAATTTCAGGTTTAGCATGAAGGATCTAAATCGGTGGCCACATTTACATAAGCGTAACAAAACTGGGGAACAGATAAGAAGGCATGATCATGCTCAGAAGTTACCTGAACGACGGTGAATCCAGATCTGAGAATAATGTCTCGAATCTCCTCCTCTTTGTCAACAATATCTGGTTTGATAAGCCCTAGAGTTTTTTCTACGTATATCTGAGGTGGGGGCATTATTTCCATTCTGGCGTTTCCTGGTACAATTTAAGAATTTCTTGGTAGGTATCAACTGCAATGACATGTATCCCCCATCCCAAATTCAATGTAATTCTGATTAAGAATAGTAGTATTAGGTGCAAGATTTTATTAATTTATTGACAGTAGACACAGCCATGTCTTTCTACAAGTAGTTTTTTAAGAATTTGGTTTTTACAGCGCCCAAGCCAGCCGGCGCGGCTTTCTCTAAGGCGGATGGAAGGATTGTCCAGGCAGGAGCTAGGGAGAGCTGGCCGTTAATAGTGCACCGCTCCACTGGTAGGGGAGCAGCCCCAGCAGGCTGCTTTCGTGATGAGACCCACCCCTCAGGGACCACTCCGGTGCAGGATCAGGCATGATTGGGGGACAGGGGCTCCAAGTCCTTTGGCAATCTCCAGGTTGGACCCTTTGAGTACTCACCTCTGGGTCAGGTGTTATCACAAACTCGTTGCTAAGAGACCTGAAACCCTATTTCGCTACGGTGGCTGCAGAGGACCAATCCCAGCAACTTTTTTTCAGCTTCTAATAGATTTGTTTTAATCAAGGATCAGCCAGGGACGTTTTGCTCTCCATATGACTCTTACAGTTCTAAACATTTTCTAATACTTTCCTCGTAATTTAAATACACAGACAGCACAGACACACACACAGACACACACACACACACACACTATATATATATATTTATGAGGGGGGTTCTTTTTGAGACAGGGTCTCCTTGTAGTCCCCAGCTGGCCTGAAACTTGCTATGTAGACCAGGCTGGTCTCAAACTCACAGAGATCCACCTGCCTCTGTCTCCCAAGTGCTGGGACTAAAGGTGTGCGCCACC